TTTTTCCTTTCACTCAACTTTCTGTTAACATGCTTGTATACAGCACTCTGTGAACAGCCAGCTTCTTTGGCAATGATTGTTTGTGGCTTACCCTCCTTGTGAAGGGTGTCAATGATTGTCTTCTGGACAACTGTCAGATCAGCAGTCTTCCCCATGATTGTGTAGCCTAGTGAACCAAACTGAGAGACCATTTTGAAGGCTCAGGAAAACTTTGCAGGTGTTTTGAGTTGATTAGCTGATTGGTATGTCACCATATTCAAATTTATTGAGATAGTGAATTGGTGGGTTTTTGTTCAATGTGAGCCAAAATCATCCCAATTAAAAGAACCAAAGACTTAAACTACTTCAGTCTGTGTGCATTGAATTTATTTAATACACGAGTTTCACAATTTGAGTTGAATTACTGAAATAAATGAACTTTTCCACGACATTCTAATTTATTGAGATGCACCTGTATATGCTGAATATACATTATGATCGGATGAGATCAGAGCATCTGCATTTGATGAAGGTATAACTGTTGAGTTTGGGTGTTTCCTTTTTGTTGCAATCTACAGCCAACCCTGAATGACTGTATGAGTGTAGACCTTTTCCTGCAGGAAAATAAATATTCATAAGACTTTTGTCTCATACCTTTAATTGAAATGGAAAATTGCCACGACACTTTCACACTTAAACGGCTGCTAATAACAGAAATGGTCAATATAGTTGCCCAACAATCTCTTGTTTGCGCCAGCAGGAGGCGTCAGACGTCAGAACATTAACAGACCTGTTTATCCTCTGATTGATCTACCTTTCACTGAGAGCGATTATGGGCTGTCTGGAGGTCAAGGGTAACCACGGAAACAGCTCCCCTCTGTTCTGGAATGTTTGATTGTGAAGAGGAAGTGCTGCATCACATGATCTCAGAGAATCCAGGTAAAAGGGCGAGTGCAGGGTGTGACCTCTGAATTGACCTTTCACTGCTCACCCACACGACCTCTGTACTCACAGCTCTCTGATTCACAGTCTAAAACCAGAAAGACACAATGCCAACTTGACCTTAATCGTCATGTAATTAATGTCACAGTGAAAAAATGTCTTGATCCTTGAAATAGAATTTCTTTGCATTGTTTGTCATATCCTTTATATTTAGTGCATATATTCTAGGGTTATTTCAGGATAATTGGGTAATTTTCCCCAGTCATCCCAATGGCAAAGGTTTCCCAATTAACCTGAATTTACCCTTTATTTTATTTATTATTTTATTTTATTATATATTTTATTAAAACAATTAAATTTTTTACTTAAAACTTATTTAAAAGAAATAGACATGATCTTGGAATCAGTTTTATGTTTTATTTAATGTGATTTAATTTGGTTTGATTTGATTATATATTTTTTTATTTGATTTAAAACTGTTTACTTTGATTTAAATCCTATTTCAAATATTAAGAAATAATATGTATATTTTTTACATTTATCATGTTTATATTTTACACACACTCACACTCACACACTCAAACACACACACACACACACACACACACACACAGGTTTGTTTTTGTGAAAAGTGGGGACATCCCATAGGCGTAATGGCTTATATGGTTTTATACTGTACAAACCGTATTTTCTATTGTCCTACACCAACCCTACCCCTAAACCTACCCCTCACAGGAAACTTTTTGCATTTTTAGATTTTCAAAAAAACTCATTCTGAATTATTTATAAGCCTTTTGAATTATGTCACACTATATTACACTGAAAATGTCCTCATAAATCACCTTCTCATTGTAATACCTATGTCATACCAATGTTATTATACAAATTTGTGTCCTCATAAACCACATAAACATGCACACACACACACACACACACACACACACACACACACACACACACACTCACACATCACACACACACACTCACTCACACACACACACACACATATATATATATATATATACATACCGTATATGTGTGTGTGTTTTCTATACGTTTTCTTTTTATTTTATTAAATATTAATCAACACAAATTTTTGCAAAAACATCTATACTTTTTTTGGGTGCTTTTTGTTTATATGTAAAAATGCCAAATTCTGGGTTGATGATAATAATGATCTTCATTTCAGTGGGTATATACAGTACAGTATGCAATCAGACGTGTGTTGTTTATTAAGAGTGTGCGGTGGCTTTAACATCTGCAGGTGTCGACTGACCAGTGCATGCAGATCTCGCTCTCTCTGAGCGGTCCGTCCACGCCTGGCTGCGCAGATGTTTTCCACTGACCTCTCATGTGTCCGCCGTCGAGAGGTCATAGGTCAGCTTTCTTCTTCAGACTATATGACACATGAAGGTTACATACTTCCCCTTGACATTCAACACACACCCACATTTCTCAACAAAGACCCGTGTGACCGCAGAGATGCAACAGGGGTCATGAAAAATGAGAATGCAAAATGTAAAGAAATAGAGAAGTTGTGATTATTTCGCCATCAGAGAGAGAGAGAGAGAGAGAGAGAGAGAGAGAGAGCGGGCGAGTGTCCTTGACTTGCACAGGGTTTGTTTATGAAGTTTGCATCAGTTTCGTCTCGCTGAACGTTTCATTGAACAGCTCTGTGTGGAAAAAGGCTTCTTTACAAGTGTGCTTTGCTACATTTTTGAGGATTTTCTCTTCAAACATTTAAAGAAGGTAAAAGAAACGGGAAAACGCATCACACATCTCTGCACATTTTTCCCAAATGTGTGAATATCATAACTGTATCAAAAGTTGTCACGAATGACATGAAGAATGATTTCGCCTCAAAATAAAAGGAAGAAAAAATTCATTATATTTTGCGTATTGCAAGAAAAGCTCTTTCAGTACCATTTTTATATTGTGACATTATTTTAATGACCTCCAACATGCAAAAATATCTTTCTCATGGCTGTAATGATTATGTACAATACGTTTATTATATGCGTCATATTCAGTGCATTTGGTTTGTATTTTGTATATTTTACATTAACATTACAGCATTTAGCAGACACTTTTTTTCCAAAGCGACAAAAAATATTTTTTAAAGAGCCAACAATATTCAAATTATATATAATGCCATTTTTATTAGACAACTAGATATTAAAGCAAGTGTAGAAATGTAGAGAAGAATATATATATATATATATATATATTTTTTTTTATTCATATACACACATTAAGTAATATATAATAACAATATATAAATATATTTATATAAATAATTTAATAAGTTATAAATCATTTATATGTAGATATAGATATTGTGTATGTGTTTTATATGAATCAATAATCTCTTTTTATGTTCTTTATATTTCTTTTCTTTTCTTTTGTTTTCCAAGGGTGAAATGTGTTTATATATTTGTGAATTTACACACAACAGAAGCTCCAGTTAAATCTGGTTGAAGCACTAAAACAGTCGTCGGTCACCTTCAAGTACAAGAATTCAAACACACAGCCCTCATATACTCTCTCTCTCTCTCTCTGTCTCTCTCTCTCTCTCTCTCTCTCTCTCTCTCTCTCTCTCTCT